ATATTATCTTCGCTAATAAGTATAAAAAATATTACACAAAGAGAAAACTGAGATACAAATCATGATGCTAAAAGCTGTCCAGGAGTCAAATATTATTACAGCTTTTAAAGCTGCGGTTTGAACGATATACGTAAAAACTGTGCAGCCTCCTTTGTCATCCCCCTCAGAAGATTTTGAGCAAGTGTCAAGGATAACAAAGAAATTATTCACATTTTAACCCCGTAAAACTTATTCTTTATATGCCATGATTAGTCATGTAAGATTCAGGCATTATTCAAAATTTTAAAAGTAGAATTATAGTAACATCTGGCATATATTCATTCATATCACCTGTGTAATGTATGCTGTGATCTTTTCACTTAATCTATATCTTCGCTAATATTACACCAAGAGAAAGCTGAGATAGCAATCATGATGCTAAAAGCTGTCTAGGAGTCAAATATTATTACAGCTTTTAAAGCTGCCGTTTGAACAATATACGTAAAAACTGTGCAGCCTCCTTCATCATCCCCCTCAGAGGATTTTGAGCAAGTGTCAAGTATAACAAAGAAATTATTCACATTTTAACCCCAAAAGACTTATTCAATATTTGCCATGATTAGCCATCTAAGATTCAAGCAATATTCAAAATTTTAAAAGTAGAATTATAGTAACATCTTTGATATGTTGATTCATATCACCTTTGTGATATATGTTGTGATCTTTTCACTTCGTCTATATCTTCAATAATAAGTATAAGAAATATTACACCAAGAGAAAACTGAGTTATCATTACTCATGCACAGCTTTTAGCATCATGATTGGTATCTCAGTTTTCTCTTGGTGTAATATTTCTTATACTTATTAGCGAAGATATAGACGAAGTGAAAAGATCACAACATACATCACAAAGGTGATATGAATCAACATATCAAAGATGTTACTATAATTCTACTTTTAAAATTTTGAATAATGGTTAACCTTACATGGCTAATCATAACATGTTACTCCCGGCACGCAATATGTTCGCAATTGTGCCTGCTCGTTGCCGAGATTATTTGTTGATAAATACTGACAAGTTAATCCGATTCGCACGATAAATATACCCTCGCAATTAATAGATTGGGTTCTTTATTAATCACAATAACTTGAGGTAAAACTACAGAAGATAAATATACGAAATGCATAAGTAAATATACGCTACGAATATATAACGATACACAGCAATTATATAATAGAGAAACTGACCAAATTTCCTCTCTTGCCGAGCACACACATCCAAATATCAAATAAAGTTTCTCGCATAAATCGCAGTATAAATCGAGTTCTAAACTAAAACAGTAATGTTCCTTTTCAAGTATAAATATAGTTGCTCAAAACAAATTGAGCCTACAAACATGTCGCACACATGAGCCCGCAATTACATGGCTCTCCTAAATTGCAACCAAACGCAATTTACAACAAAGTCAATAAATGTTCCATACAAGGGTTCTTCAGCGGGGATTCTTCAATCCATGGCTGTATCTTCGGACTTCAGAAGTAGTACCAGTTTATGGACTGGTCTGTCCAGAACGGTCGTTGCTCGAACACATTTTCCTTCTCTTGAAAGTAAAGGGTCGCTTGCGATGATCTTTACTTTTCGAACAAGTCCATCATCAGAGGTATAGGCTTCTTGGACTCGAGCGGTACGCCAACAGTTTCTTGGCACGTTTTTGTCTTTAAACAATACGATATCGCCTGCTTGGCTTTGGTTTGGATCGAATCATGAACGATAAAAAATCCTTTCTTTCTTCAGGCACAAAGGAAATTACTCTCTTTAAACAGAATGCCTGTATTTCAGTTTCACAAAAAGGAAAGATCCTCTCGAAACCTTCGGAACTTATCCATCCGTTTGGTCCTGCAGCTCACTTGTTTTCCGTAGAGGATCACCGTTTTCCTGTAGGAGATGAACTTCCTGAAGGTACCAGATTGCATGTTTTGGAAAAACGTGGTATGGTGAAAGACCTGGATTGGGCCAGAATCTACGAAAGAGCTCAATCCGTCGCTAAAACCAGGGATCTCAGAAGATGCCGAAAACTAATCGCATACATTAACAAGAGAATAGAACAACTGCCGAAACCAATTCAATATCGCAGTGTGTTTCATCAGGTTGAGTTTTTGCCAGTGTTGAAAAAACCCGCCGGTCAGTACCTTTTACCTTGGAAAGGATCGTCAGTTTCGGCATTTTCTTCCCCAAGCGATGTTTTCTTACCAAAAGATGCAAAACTTGTCGGATCTTCCTGTTTAATCATTGATACATCAGACGAAAGTGGTTGTGGAAAGATGAATGCAAAAGTGAAACATTTTTTTAGATTTTCGAGCCGTCTGCCTGAAGACAAGTTTGTAATTCAACAGTTGGACGAAGCAAATAAATTTTGGAGTCAGTTAAATGAAGAGGAAAGACAAAAAGCGGGAAAGAGATCTGAAATTGAATCCATCTGCCTAAGCATTTATAAATTTTTTAACACCAGAACTCTTAAGGGTGCTGGAAATTTAAGTTTTCTGAGCAAACTACGCAATCGAAAATGGTTGTTTCTTCAGGGCAAGTTCGTAGAAAGCAAGAAAGTGGCTTACGCGTCTGACGTTTGAAAGATATACGTAAAAATTGTGCAGCCTCCTTCGTCATCTCCCTCAGAGGATTTTGAGCAAGTGTCAAGTATAACAAAGAAATTATTCACATTTTAACCCCGTAAGACTTATTCAATATACGTTATGATTAGCCATGTAAGATTCAAGCATTATTCGAAATTTTAAAACTAGAATTATAGTAACATCTGGCATATATTTATTCATATCACCTGTGTGATGTATGCTGTGATCTTTTCACTTTGCCTATATCTTCGCTAATAAGTATAAAAATATTACACAAAGTGAAAACTGAGATACCAATCACAATGCTAAAAGCTGTCCAGGAGTCAAATATTATTACAGCTTTTAAAGCTGCCGTTTGAACGATATACGTAAAAACTGTGCAGCCTCCTTCGTCATCCCCCTCAGAAGATTTTGCAAGTGTCTAGTATAACAAAATAATGATGAAAATTTTAACCCCGATACAATTATTCAATATATGTTATGATTAGCCATGTAAGGTTCAAGCATTATTCAAAATTTTAAAAGTAGAATTATAGTAACATCTTTGATATGTTGATTCATATCACCTTTGTGATGTATGTTGTGATCTTTTCACTTCGTCTAGATCTTTGCTAATAAGTATAAGAAATATTACATCAAGAGAAAACTGAGATACCAATCATGATGCTAAAAGCTGTCCAGCAGTCAAATATTATTACAGCTTTTAAAGCTGACGTTTGAACGATATACGTAAAAATTGTGCAGCCTCCTTCGTCATCCCCCTCAGAGCATTTTGAGCAAGTGTCAAGTATAACAAAGAAATTATTCACATTTTAACCCCGTAAGACTTATTCAATATACGCTATGATTAGCTATGTAAGATTCAAGCATTATTCAAAATTTTAAAAGTAGAATTATAGTAACATCTTGCATATGTTGATTCATATCACCTTTGTGATGTATGTTGTGATCTTTTCACTTCGTCTATAACTTCGCTAATATTACACCAAGAGAAATATTATCTTCGCTAATAAGTATAAAAAATATTACACAAAGAGAAAACTGAGATACAAATCATGATGCTAAAAGCTGTCCAGGAGTCAAATATTATTACAGCTTTTAAAGCTGCGGTTTGAACGATATACGTAAAAACTGTGCAGCCTCCTTTGTCATCCCCCTCAGAAGATTTTGAGCAAGTGTCAAGGATAACAAAGAAATTATTCACATTTTAACCCCGTAAAACTTATTCTTTATATGCCATGATTAGCATGTAAGATTCAGGCATTATTCAAAATTTTAAAAGTAGAATTATAGTAACATCTGGCATATATTCATTCATATCACCTGTGTAATGTATGCTGTGATCTTTTCACTTAATCTATATCTTCGCTAATATTACACCAAGAGAAAGCTGAGATAGCAATCATGATGCTAAAAGCTGTCTAGGAGTCAAATATTATTACAGCTTTTAAAGCTGCCGTTTGAACAATATACGTAAAAACTGTGCAGCCTCCTTCATCATCCCCCTCAGAGGATTTTGAGCAAGTGTCAAGTATAACAAAGAAATTATTCACATTTTAACCCCAAAGACTTATTCAATATTTGCCATGATTAGCCATCTAAGATTCAAGCATATTCAAAATTTAAAAGTAGAATTATAGTAACATCTTTGATATGTTGATTCATATCATTTGTATATATGTTGTGATCTTTTTCACTTCGTCTATATCTTCAATAATAAGTATAAGAAATATTCACCAAGAGAAAACTGAGTTATCAATCATCTACTCATGCACAGCTTTTAGCATCATGATTGGTATCTCAGTTTTCTCTTGGTGTAATATTTCTATACTTATTAGCGAAGATATAGACGAAGTGAAAAGATCACAACATACATCACAAAGGTGATATGAATCAACATATCAAAGATGTTTACTATAATTCTACTTTTAAAATTTTGAATAATGGTTAACCTTACTGGCTAATCATAACATGTTACTCCCGGCACGCAATATGTTCGCAATTGTGCCTGCTCGTTGCCGAGATTATTTGTTGAATAAATACTGACAAGTTATCCGATTCGCACGATAAATATACCCTCGCAATTAATAGATTGGGTTCTTTATTAATCACAATACTTGAGGTAAAACAACAGAAGATAAATATACGAAATGCATAAGTAAATATACGCTACGAATATATAACGATACACAGCATTATATAATAGAGAAACTGACCAAATTTCCTCTCTTGCCGAGCACACACATCCAATATCAAATAAAGTTTCTCGCATAAATCGCAGTATAAATCGAGTTCTAAACTAAAACAGTAATTTCCTTTTCAAGTATAAAATATAGTTGCTCAAAACAAATTGAGCCTACAACATGTCGCACACATGAGCCCGCAATTACATGGCTCTCCTAAATTGCAACCAAACGCAATTTACAACAAAGTCAATAAATGTTCATACAAGGGTTCTTCAGCGGGGATTCTTCAATCCATGGCTGTATCTTCGGACTTCAGAAGTAGTACCAGTTTATGGACTGGTCTGTCCAGAACGGTCTTGCTCGAACACATTTTCCTTCTCTTGAAAGTAAAGGGTCGCTTGCGAATTTTTACTTTTCGAACAAGTCCATCATCAGAGTATAGGCTTCTTGGACTCGAGCGGTACGCCAACAGTTTCTTGGCACGTTTTTGTCTTTAAACAATACGATATCGCCTGCTTGGCTTTGGTTTGGATCGAATCATGAACGATAAAAATCCTTTCTTTCTTCAGGCACAAAGGAATTACTCTCTTTAAACAGAATGCCTGTATTTCAGTTTCACAAAAAGGAAAGATCCTCTCGAAACCTTCGGAACTTATCCATCCGTTTGGTCCTGCAGCTCACTTGTTTTCCGTAGAGGATCACCGTTTTCCTGTAGGAGATGAACTTCCTGAAGGTACCATTGCATGTTTGGAAAAACGTGGTATGGTGAAAGACCTGGATTGGGCCAGAATCTACGAAAGAGCTCAATCCGTCGCTAAAACCAGGGATCTCAGAAGATGCCGAAAACTAATCGCATACATTAACAAGAGAATAGAACAACTGCCGAAACCAATTCAATATCGCAGTGTGTTTCATCAGGTTGAGTTTTTGCCAGTGTTGAAAAACCCGCCGGTCAGTACCTTTTACCTTGGAAAGGATCGTCAGTTTCGGCATTTTCTTCCCCAAGCGATGTTTTCTTACCAAAAGATGCAAAACTTGTCGGATCTTCCTGTTTAATCATTGATACATCAGACGAAAGTGGTTGTGGAAAGATGAATGCAAAAGTGAAACATTTTTTTAGATTTTCGAGCCGTCTGCCTGAAGACAAGTTTGTAATTCACAGTTGGACGAAGCAATAATTTTGGAGTCAGTTAAATGAGAGGAAGACAAAAAGCGGGAAAGAGATCTGAAATTGAATCCATCTGCCTAAGCATTTATAAATTTTTAACACCAGAACTCTTAAGGGTGCTGGAAATTTAAGTTTTCTGAGCAAACTACGCAATCGAAAATGGTTGTTTCTTCATGGCAAGTTCGTAGAAAGCAAGAAAGTGGCTTACGCGTCTGACGTTTGAAAGATATACGTAAAATTGTGCAGCCTCCTTCGTCATCTCCCTCAGAGGATTTTGAGCAAGTGTCAAGTATAACAAAGAATTATTCACATTTTAACCCCGTAAGACTTATTCAATATACGTTATGATTAGCCATGTAAGATTCAAGCATTATTCGAAATTTTAAAACTAGAATTATAGTAACATCTGGCATATATTTATTCATATCACCTGTGTGATGTATGCTGTGATCTTTTCACTTTGCCTATATCTTCGCTAATAAGTATAAAAATATTACACAAAGTGAAAACTGAGATACCAATCACAATGCTAAAAGCTGTCCAGGAGTCAAATATTATTACAGCTTTTAAAGCTGCCGTTTGAACGTATACGTAAAACTGTGCAGCCTCCTTCGTCATCCCCCTCAGAAGATTTTGCAAGTGCTGTATAACAAAATAATGATTGAAATTTTAACCCCGATACAATTATTCAATATATGTTATGATTAGCCATGTAAGGTTCAAGCATTATTCAAAATTTTAAAAGTAGAATTATAGTAACATCTTTGATATGTTGATTCATATCACCTTTGTGATGTATGTTGTGATCTTTTCACTTCGTCTAGATCTTTGCTAATAAGTATAAGAGAATATTACATCAAGAGAAAACTGAGATACCAATCATGATGCTAAAAGCTGTCCAGCAGTCAATATTATTACAGCTTTTAAAGCTGACGTTTGAACGATATACGTAAAAATTGTGCAGCCTCCTTCGTCATCCCCTCAGAGCATTTTGAGCAAGTGTCAAGTATAACAAGAAATTATTCACATTTTAACCCCGTAAGACTTATTCATATACGCTATGATTAGCTATGTAAGATTCAAGCATTATTCAAAATTTTAAAAGTAGTTATAGTAACATCTTGCATATGTTGATTCATATCACCTTTGTGATGTATGTGGTGATCTTTTCACTTCGTCTATAACTTCGCTAATATTACACCAAGAGAAATATTATCTTCGCTAATAAGTATAAAAATATTACACAAAGAGAAAACTGAGATACAATCATGATGCTAAAAGCTGTCCAGGAGTCAAATATTATTACAGCTTTTAAAGCTGCGTTTGAACGATATACGTAAAAACTGTGCAGCCTCCTTTGTCATCCCCCTCAGAAGATTTTGAGCAAGTGTCAAGGATAACAAAGAAATTATTCACATTTTAACCCCGTAAAACTTATTCTTTATATGCCATGATTAGCCATGTAAGATTCAGGCATTATTCAAAATTTTAAAAGTAGAATTATAGTAACATCTTTGAAATGTTGATTTATATCACCTTTGTGATGTATGTTGTGATCTTTTCACTTCGTCTATATCTTCAATATTAGTATAACAAATATTACACCAAGAGAAAACTGAGTTATCAATTATGATGCTAAAAGCTGTCCAGGAGTCATAACAACCTCGTACCCAGGGTCTTTTACCTACGCTCCTCGGACACGCTGCGGCGAAGACCCTGGTTGCGGCTGGTCACGTGAACCCCTAGAAATTGGCGCAACAGGAGGTCCCGAGGGTGGGTGGTTGAAATACGATATGTTGTAAAACAACTTCCGGTGAAAATTTTGTTTGCGAGGAGCGACACAAGCGACACGAGTGAATTTTTATAAAATAGGAGAGCCATGCGAAAAGATTCGAATTGTATGTTTTTTTTATTTGTCTGCAGTTTTCTGTTTTGAATAGTTTGTATTCGAACGCTATTTTGAAACCTAAGCAGGTTATTTGTTTGGAAAAGCTGTTCCTTGGCGTGGATATATTGGCAATTCTACCAACCGGTTATGGCAAGTCCTTAATTTACCAGCTTTTGCCTTTGATGCTGTTCGCTAAAAGAGCATTGGAAGAACGTACAAATCAGCAACTTTGTACGGATGAAGTGACCTCTGTGCTGCTTGTGATATCTCCATTGAACGCTTTAATAAACGATCAAGTTCGAAAGTTATGTGCGATAGGACTTAGAGCATCGGCGATAAATATTCAGCCACAACAAAATATTGACGATGAAATCGATTGTGATGTAACTGAACTTGAACAAAAAACGAAGCTGATCAAAGGATATTATAATTTGTTGTTTGCTCATCCTGAAGCGCTAATATCAAGCAAGTTTGGAAAAGAACTAGTGAACAGCGCTATATACCAAAAACATGTTTGCGCTATTGTAATCGATGAAGCCCACTGCATTCTTGAATGGTATTTATTATTGTTTGTCATATATATTTATATACATTTAAATATTCCTATACGATGTCCTGAATTCAGTTTTTAGGCCATCTTAACTATACTTTATATGGTCTATATTGAAATCTAAATTTATTCTCCCTTAATGGTTGTATCATATAATGTATCACAAACGATCATATTTCGTCATTAAAACTATGTTATGTGAATTTTTTTAGGGGAGATGATTTCAGACAAGATTATGCAAAGCTAAGTGTGTTGTGTGCTGTCTTTCCAAAAGTACCACTTCTGGCTATGACGGCTACAGCAAATAAAAGTGACCGAAGGCAGATTAAGGAATCACTTGGCCTGCATAGTTGTTTTGAATTGATTGCAAACCCCAACAGAAAAAACATCTTCTATGAAAAGACATTCAGATATGGACAAGATATTGATGCATTTGAGCACATTTGCAGACCAATTGCAGTCGATTTGCTACATATGAAAATCGATTTCCGTTGACTATTATATATATGCCACTTCGATGGTGTGGGTTTGTATACCGACTATTTGAAACCATACTTGGTATAAACCAATATTATCCAGCAGATTCCCTAGCCCTACCAAAAAACAGACTATTTGGACAATTTCATGCTCCACAGACAGCCAAGATGAAACAAGAAATTTTAGAACAATTGAGTCTGCAGTCATCAAAAATAAGGGTGGTTTTAGCTACAGTTGCCTTTGGAATGGGGTGGACATTCCCTCAATTAGGCAAATTATACATATTGGGCCACCAAGAACCATTAGAGAATATCTCCAAGAAACTGGCAGAGCAGGTCGAGATGGAAAACCTTCAAAAGCCATACTGTATTACAATAACAGAGACATTGCTAAGAACAAACCAGGATTCCAGGATGAAGTACGAATGTATTGCCTCAGCGATGATCAGTGCTTGCGTACTCTACTGCTGCAATTTCTTGACATTAGCCAGCCTGAAGCAGTTTCACCAAAACATTCATGCTGCAGTGTTTGCAAAACACAATGCTTATGTATTGAGTGTGGTTTAGCTGTTTAATAAACCTGCTAATACTAGTACAGTATATGTACAAATAAATGTAAATTTTGATGTATATAATAATCATAGTAACCATACAGCCATTTCAATTAAAGTTTCCTGCACCAATCTTTTTAACAAACGTCTCTGAATAATCTTAAATAGTTTAATTGTTATATTATAACTAATAAGGCAGTCCTTAAGTCGAAACACCAGGTTTTTTGTATATGGATATACAAAAAACCTGGTGTTTCGACTTAAGGACTTTTTTCTGAAGAGTAATATGTTAAAGATTTGCACACTAACTCATGTGCTTAAGGCTCTTTTGGTTTGGTTTGGAAAATTCTATGCAGTGGCCAAAAAGTTAATATTTCCATACTATAATATTCTAGTTAATCATTCAGTGCTATAGTCTTATAAATTACTGCTGTTTCAGTTTGTTTGCATAAACAATATTTATAATTCTTCATCATCTGATGTGTCTACTGGTCCGTGCTTTGTAATGTTCCTTTTGTGTTTATTTAGCCAATCATAAAAGGCAGCATTGTCTAATTTTGCTAATGGATCTGAAGATATATCTGAAAAACCATCATGAGAACGATCACCAATATTCTCAAATGGTTTCAATTCTAAGAGATCAGAAAGAATAATCTTTTCATCCTTCTCAGAAGACTTGTGCTTGTGAGATGATGCCTTCTTCTTGATCCCTACAGCATGGTCAAGTTGCTGATGATTTCAGCAGTGCCCCCAGCAGCTCTACTTAACCGTTCAATTGCCTGGGGTGTTTTATTAGCTCCCATTCCTTTAATACCTTTTTTCAATTCTCGATTGAGGTTTTCTTGAAGAAGATCAATTTCAATATTGTTTGCTGCACCACCCTTCCAGTTAACAGTAGAAGCCCAACGAGTTTGATAAGCCTGTCTCTTTGTCAGAAACACTTCATCCTGCAAGATGCTGATTAGCATCTCAATGGCATAAGTGTTATGACCTGCGTGACTTTTAAAATGTTTCAAAAGCACCTTTCGTAGAGATGCAAGCCAATCACCGTCCCCCAATTTCACTGCTTCTTTAACACATTGAAGGGTAAAAAATAATCTTAAAAGGCATAATGAATATTCCCTTACCCTATCAATGTGGTCCTCATCTTCTGACTCCTCACCCGACTCAGAGTTATTTTGAGCTGGAAACAAGTACTCATCCACAAACTTATCCAGAACATCATCAAAGTACTGTTGTTTTTCCCCATCACCATGCAGTACATCATGTGGTGGAATATGGATTTGTGGAGAGTCATTGATATCATCCATTCCAAAAAATTGTAGCAATGCTACAATGGTGTATGCCCTGCCGACCGTGAGAAATAATTGTTCACAATCCTCATAATGCTTAATATCCTGGGTAACATTTCTGCGTTGTAATTTCTCTCTGAAATACCTCAGTGTACCCCTTGCTCGTGTAGAATTTTTATATAGCATCTTAAAAATAAGCTAAAAAAAAACAATAAAAAATGAGTCATTAATGATTAATCATGAAATAATAGTTTTAGTAGAAAAACTATGTGGAAGAGAGACCCTAAAAAGAATTTAAGTGTGAGCTTAGTAACTTTTTAGGATCTTGGTAGGGATGTATTCTAATTTAGAAGATTAGATAATATGTTGAGGAAGTATTTTGGAAGTAATAGCTAGATTAAGGAGTAGGGGTTCACCTATGTCCAACAGGTGTTAAAGAATAAAAAGCTTTTGGTTGTTTTGATTTAGGCATTTTTTTAGTAATGATGGGGTGTGGGTTATGCAGTTATTATATACTGGGTGCCATTTTATCATGACACAATTTGTACCTTCAAAAAACTTCTTTTACAGTGCCAATCAGCAACCTTTATTGGATGAATATGATCCAGTCGATCTCGTGCTGTATGACATCCAGCTCTTAAATCTTTTGCACCAGCCAGGCGTACTCTAGTGAGTTGATCACCATAACAGGGTACTCTAACTGTTGCCAAAGGGTCATTAGGGTCAGCCGCAGGATGTACATGTGACAATGGTTGATCTGGTCTAGAAGTAGTTGCAGGCAGGAGTAGGTGTTGTTCATCTTCAGAATGAGACTGACTGCAGTCATTGTATGTGTCACTATCTGGAATGTGTCCAGCTTTAGCAAAAATCTTATGGACCCATGTTTCAAGCTGATCCAGAACATCGACAATCTCGCCATATTTCTTTTCATCCTTTAAAAGAACTGGAAATGGCACAACAATTGATTTAGCTTTCATTTGGTCACCATGCATGGAAGACTGGTCAGTGCTGTTTACCAAATCCTTTATAAAGTCAAATGCAGGGATGTTCTCACACATGATTTTTGCCGCTATCATTTTGTATGCTTGGCGTTGCTTTGCCAGGTCATCATCTCTTAGACCAACCAACTTGGCTATGTCAGTATGAGCTAACGACTGCTGGGGCTCTTCATCTTGCAAATGGCTTGATGATATGCGATCAAAAACTACAGATGTTGCAACAGCATGCACACTTTTGTTTTGATGATCAGATCGCATATCATGGACCTTTTCCTCCCAGTCAATGTTATCAAGTACAAAGGAGAAAGTTTTCCCAGCCTTCACTTCTTCAACCACTTTGTCAAGAAAGTGTGTGCCAATCTCATCTTGAATAGTATATTTCTTTGTCTTTTCGAGGCATATACCATACTTATTAAACCTTTCATATACCTTAAAAAATATTGTAGGTATTGTATCATTTCATGTTTATAACTAATCAAAAAATTTTATTTAACAGGCAACAATGCTCAAACAGACTTCTGTTTGACCTTTAACATCTGCAATCTGCACTGGAGAACTTCCTGTACAAAGTCTAATGCGTGCCGCAGAGAATGCAGAGAAGATAAAAGCCTTTGATATTGAAAAGCATCAGGCACATGTTAACCTATCTCATATTTTGCCTATTGCTGAATATATATAAAAAAACGTAATCGATAAAGGGCATAATCGTCTTACTGGCGATTGCAAGGAATTGGGAATCAAAGTTAATTTGCACTTATCATAATTGGAACGAGTTCAAAAAAAAGACAAAAACTTTGTAACAGTGGGATCGGCGGATGGGGATGACACATCAAGCTTATTTAATGAGAAATCTCAAACAGCTGAATAAACATTTGCAGTCCATAGAGTTATATGACTTATAACTGAAACTAGGCTATTGTTTATTGTTTATCCTCCCTTGGCCTGTAGATACTTTTTTACACCGAATCAACCGGCAGTCTTGAGAAGTTGAAAAAAAACTCTTATACTCAATACCCACAATTAAAGGAAAAGAACAAATAATATCACAGTGCATGTTTACCTCGGTATTCGCACCACTATCCGCCAGAATTACACTGTTAATACGCTGGAAATAACTCAACTCGTGGCATCTTTTGAACATAATCACCCCGTATATCAATGTCATTGGAACAATCCGCGTTTCCGAAATATTGAGTTCCAACATTTCTGCTAAAATTCTGTAAGTCGCAGGGCATATCGTGCGCAACTCGTCTATGATTTGCTCTGGTGAAAAGGTGCTCAATCCCTCAAAATGACGGCTGCGAAGCTTTGAATTCGTCTCTCTTCTAGCTACTTCACGCAATTCATCATTAATCCTTTTTAGTATTTCATCGAATGACGCGTCCAAGCAAAATGTAACAATTTTGCATAATGTTAAGGACTGAAATTTATTATTATAGTACTACCCGTAAACTATTTTAATTTACTGTTTACAAGATTTACCTGGTAAGGGGCAATTTCTTGTAGCGTTGAATCAATTGCAGTATCAAAAGACAAGCTGCGGCGAGAGCCCACACTTCCATCTGCTTCACTGGTTCTCGAACTCTTAATGCTGCTCATGGCTACAGATGGCGATGATTCGTTGATGCATCTCTTTTTCGATGTCAAAGAACTTTGGGTTTCAGTCACTATTCTCCTAAACTTGGCAAAATTGTCAAGCCTTCTCTCGCAAGGCCGACATAAAAGTTTAGGAAGCCCGTCCTCATTCGCAAGAGTTCCACCATTTACAAATTCTGCGACACAAAGAAGGCTTTTATTTCGCACTAGAAATAAATTTTTGCAGTGCTTCTTATCGAAAACGCCAGCACAAAGGCGACACTTGCACTCCGACAACAAGTCAGATTTCGGATAAAGTTTCTTTGGAGTTTCCTTTCGCTGTGCCATAGCTTGGGAGCAACCGATACTGAAGTTTTTTTAAGTCTGTATTCGATTATAACTATGCGCTCCGAATTCAAGGTGCAAAACATACCTCCAACGACGCACATTAAAGCAAAGAGGTGTGAAAAGTTTTTGTGCGGTGACATATTTCATATAAAATAAAAGCAAAACCGACAAGGCCAACAAAGTGCCGAGATTTTTTCGGTTCACACCTGATGATCAATCTCCTGGCTTTTTAACAATTCCCTCTACCACTCCTCC